AATGAAAACAAACAAAAACTAAAATTTAAAATAATTCTCGTCAACTGAAATAAAAATAAAAAATAGATCTGAAATTGTATTGTGTACATACAAAACTAACTGAAACTAACTAAAATAACTGGAAAAAACGTCCTTTGTTTTCATCTTTGTCAATTTATTTAATACATGTATGACTTTTAGAAGTAAATATATTTACTTTTGAGGTGCCTACGGGTCAAACACCTGGCAGCACAGAGTCTGTAATCCTGATGTCATTGGCCAGATCAAGCAGGTTATACTCCAGTCATCCTCACTGATGCTCCTGCGACAAAAACAATGAGTAGAAATGACCGCAGCTTGGCCCAAGCAGAGACGTAAAAATATTTATTTAACACATTTGTGCCCAATAATGGGTTTTATTTTTGTATTAGTGATCCTGATCGAAAACGGATCGTTCTTTTTACCCAGATCTTCTAAGTGAACCGGTTGAACTAAACCAAATCGAATTGAATTGAATTTGAAATAATTTGCATCTCCATTAAGCACTTATACACAAACAACTTTTTAGCATGCCTAAAACCTCCCTCTGACTTGAAATAAACCAATTTTCCGAGTTATTCAGTTAGTAGAAAAGTACACTGAGATAAGATTGAAGTAGCGATGAACTGATAATACTGCGCATGTGTGATTCAGCAAGTGAACCGAAAACACAATGGGACATGACAGCCTGCTGTGACTGAAACAAACTTGAACAATTACAGCGCTTGTAAACCGAGTTTATTTCATAACAGAAAGTCATAATGGAATTTAAATAAGATAATCATGCTTCAGTTGGGCTGCAAAACTTAATTGTAATAAACTTTTCATATCTTGATGTTTTAACTGACTGAAATTGTTATTGCTGACTACATATTTTTGGTATGTTAAGTCCTAACATGGGAGTATTTTTACAAAAGATCCGGGTTGCGTTAAAGATCAGAGATATGTTACTTAAGGCTGCTATCTTGTGGGCTGTTGTATTTGAATTTGAGGATGGGTAGATGATAAGTAGTCATGTGTCCTTTGCATGCATGTTTCAAAAATGTATCTTTGGTTGAGTTTTTATTATACAATATTTATTCTGATGATTTTGAATCTTGCACCAAACAAATATTCTTATTGAGAAAAACATTTAGAAAAAAAAACTAAAACCAATACTGAAACTAAAACGAACCTGAAACAAAGCAATTTAAAAATCTAAAATGTAGTAAATCTACCCCTATAAACTAATTAAAACAAACTAAATTTGAAAACAGTCTAAACAAAATAAAAACTAAAACTAATGAAAAATCCCAAAGTATTCTAACTTTGGTCTATTGTCCTGAGCGTCTCTCACGCTGGCCAAAGGCCATCAGGCAGTCCTTATTGTTGAGCCCTGGTAAGCAAGCAACAAGGTTGAATAGTGTTCTAATAGATAAATAGTGGATATGAGTTGCCTACACTGAAATTTTAGCAAAACTCTTGCCAGCCACAAACTTTTAAAGGTAATGCATGTAACTTGAGGTAAATGTCACTCGAGCAAAGCATTTAGTGTCTCTTTCAAGTGTCTTTAGGATATTTGCAACCAAAAACTGGCCATTTTATTTCACAAATGTTTAAATTGTTATTTCTGTCACAATCATTTCCCTCAAAAAAGGTTATTAAATGCATGTACGTAATTTAGTGGGTACTTCTGCACTGCAGTGGTTCGGTCACAGGCACTTTTATCAGAAAACTGGATTATATCTAGCTTTAGTTTAAAAAGTTTACTTTCTAAAAGGGCCAAAAGCGCCCATAGTTCAAAAACAGTCATTAACGGAATCCATTCAACTCCTAGCAGTGTATAACAAGTCTCTTTAATGCAAGCCAGTTCACTCGACGGGCATCTTCATAACTGCATCCCTGGGCAGCGATTCATGTCGATAATAGGCATTCAGGAACAAAGTCTATTTGCTTGAATGTGGGAAAGAAATCTCCAGAACATTGCATTTCAATAATGCATCTCATATCAGCAATGAAATCAGACGACAAGAATATCGTATAGATTTGCCTGGCGCATTTATGTTGTTCCCTTGCAGAAAGAACATTGCAGTCTTCAATGAATGCCAAGGATTGGGTCAGATAACAGATCGTGATGGAGAGTTTGACCATGCCAGTAAAGGTTTCTGAATCTTTATCCTCTCTAGAGAGGGAAGGAAGGTCGGCGAGGTTGGGGATGCACGCAGTGTCAGTTTGCAGTCAGGGTCAGTGATGGACGGTTTGTGTGCTTTTGAAGGGGTCTTTAAATACGCATGATTCACAGTTCTGTCGTTCCTCCTACTCGAGCGCCAGGTTGCCAGATTCTCCTGCAAAGGCTGAGCTTCTTGCCAGCGAGATGGCAGTATTACAAAATAGTGAGGACATTAATCTGATGGCTGGCCATGTGCTGACACTTGCCATCCTTGCACAATCTGATTAAATAAATCCAGAAGTAATGCTTTTGCTATCCGGGCGAACGTAATTTGCTCGTATTAACAATAGAAGCAATCGGGAATCCACTGGAGCTGTAAACTTTTAATAAAAGAGCAATATTTGATGGACCCCAGCCAGGGCTGATGCTATATACTATATTAATGATAGGGAGAGTTAGCAATGTCCTTTTTAATAGTTGTGACGTAGGACCAATTGAAATTGCAAGTCATTTTTGCCACTGTGCGATTGATCATTAACAGGTCACACTCTACATTCAGAATCCCATGCGATCTTATTCTTAAATGACTGTGATTTAGATTGTTTATTAAGTCTTTGACAGTGTGAGATAATGACTGGAGTGCAGATGTGTTCATGCTGCTGTTGACCTATTTAATTATGTGCTACAAATTCATTATCTCAAATTCTTTGATAGTAGTTTATATAACTCCTTATTTCTATAGCAGCAATGAAAATGGACTTATCACCTTGATAGTAGATGGCTAGAAGCATGTTAAATGTATTTGAATTGATCTTTTGATATACAAATAATTTATTGAGCAATGAATAGGGCTGGGTGAAATGGCCTAATTAAAATCTCAATTTATTAAACATTTTAACTTCTATTACAATTAATAAGTAATTATTTTATTTGTTTATTTAGTTTTTTCATAGTTCACTGACAATTTTGTACAGTAAATATGCTCACATATTACAAGTGAGATTTTTAAATGTGGGATGCTTTACAGATTTTAAAATAATTGAAGTAAACACACGCTATCTACTATCTATGAATATTTATTGAACTTCAACGCTGAACAACTAAAATGAAAACACACATTGCCTAAAAAATGGCTGTTTGTGCTGCCCACCCTCATCACTGTTACCAAACCGACCAATCACAAAGCATGTGCTACGCGACGTTGTAATGTTTAGTTAAATTTTTTTGAGAAGTGCGCGGGTATGCGAAGGCTACGACGGATCGGAAGTGTGCACTTGGCAGAAGTATAATATCAGAATAATACAAGTATAAATGATAATATAATAAGTATAAATTAGCTTTAACAGAGTGGGGTCACATGACACTACACACAGTGGGGAAATTAATAGAAACAATTGACCTGGAAAAATTTGATCGATTCTAGGTTCTGACTGTCGAATTCGATTACTTTGTACGATTAATTGCCCAGCCCTTGCAATAAATGAGGTGAAGTCTTTGAGTGTTTAAAAAATCTTTTCAATGGATTTGTTTAGACGTGAAGTAGGACTGCACTATATTGGAAAAACTGACATTGCAATATTTAGATTTTTTGCTATTACATATTATGAGTACAATTTCACAAGATTACTTTATTTGGAAAGACTTTGATGGAGATGATTTTTAAAGTGGAATGAATCTGCGTAAAATGTACAAAAAAATGTTTACAAATTAAGTGTCCTTAATGTTTCTGGGTTCACTCAAGGTTTATGGCTGTATTTTATTATGCTGCCGGTAGGAATTGTATTTGCTTACCACCCAGTGCTCGTGTCTTTCATTGTTTGATGGAGTTTGTTAAAATATCACCTGCAATAACAAACTCATGCATTTTTGTGAAGCAGCCTTTGCTTAGGCTTTTAATTTTCTTTGCATATGAAGCAGTCACACAGCGCTCTGCCTCGAAAAGCTAGTCATCTTCTATTGTTAGTGATGGAAAGGTTCGAAATGACTACTCTGGAGTTTGGAGAGATAGCAGGACACAGTTTGCTGAACTTGGACTGATAAAGGCATTAGAGCGGATTACACAGTTTAATTACAGCCGTGTTTGTAGTGCTTTTGTTTGAGCTTTTCTTAATCTGGTGTGCATCAAATTAATGCTTCTAATTCATAAAGACTATCAGGAAATGCGTTATTTTAAGCGTTTTTTTAATGTTTGAATTCTTTATAAATTAAATGAATTAAATGCCTCAAAGTTATGTTTGAATGTTTTAATTTTTGCTAAAAATAGCTTTAGATATAATTGTGTATATATAGCATTATGCCAGTACATATTTTGTATGCGTGTGTGCGTTCTCTCCCCATCTCCTTTTGCTTTTCTTCATGAGCAGGTGTCTTAAATAAAACTCCTGAATTGTTTGCTATTTATTTGTTCATCTTGTGCCAGAAAAACTGGCCTAAAGGACAATCCAGCAAAAATCCTTGTTCATGAATGCATGACTGATTGAACAGCTGTCTTCCAGTCTGTGCACTGAAACAACAATTCGTGTCCTTCGAAATGTGTCCTTCAAGTTTAAACCATTGAAAGTTAATCAAAACAAGCTTTTCTATTTGATTAAGTGCTTCATAGTTAGTTGTTTACCATTTCCATTCTCCTGTTGTTGTGTTTGTGGTTTGACAATGATGGTGATTGTCAATTGAGTATTTGTAATTAATGCAGTGTCTTAACACAGAGAGCTCTGAACACTACCAGAACACACCTCATCTCACCATGTAGAACATCGTACATTATCACCATGCTTATAAAATGCAAGGTTTTCTGCTTTTGGATAAAAAGTGACTGTCTTTTTTGGGTCTACAGGTTCAACTACAGATCAACTCATCATCTCACCACTAATGGTTTTTATGAGTTCCTCAACTGGTTTGACGAGAGGGCCTGGTACCCACTGGGCAGAATAGTAGGAGGAACGGTAGGTCATTTTTTATTAATTTTTTCTTGGGCTTTTATTTAAATTTCCTTTCCTTTTTAATTTATTCGATTTTTCTAGTAACAATTATAAAAAGGGGCTCATTTCCATTAGTTCATGTTACATAACTTTTGTCATGGTTATTATTGTTAAACTATATTTTGAATTAAATAATACTTTACTAAAGGTAAATATCTACTAACAAATAATGTTTTAGTAAGGCAACATTTAATTTTTGCAGCATTTATTATTTCATATTTTACAGTTTACTGTTTATCCATAAATCCATCCATCCCATTGTCCGCCCATCTAATTGTCCCATCCGTCCATCCATCCCTCTGTCCATCTAATTGTCTAGCCATCGGTCCGTCCAATTGTCCGTCTAGCCATCGGTTCATACAATTGTCCGTCTAGCCATCGGTCCGTCCAATTGTCCGTCTAGCCATCCGTCCGTCTAGTTGTCCGTCTAGCCATCCGTCCGTCCAGTTGTCCGTCTAGCCATCCGTCCGTCCAGTTGTCCGTCTAGCCATCCGTCCGTCCAGTTGTCTGTCTAGCCATCCGTCCGTCTAGCCTTCCATCCGTCCAGTTGTCTGTCTAGCCATCCGTCCGTCTAGTTGTCCGTCTAGCCATCCGTCCGTCCAGTTGTCCGTCTAGCCATCCGTCCGTCCAGTTGTCCGTCTAGCCATCCGTCCGTCCAGTTGTCTGTCTAGCCATCCGTCCGTCTAGCCTTCCGTCCGTCCAGTTGTCCGTCTAGCCATCCGTCTGTCTAGCCTTCCGTCCGTCCAGTTGTCCGCCTAGCCATCCGTCCGTCCAGTTGTCCGTCTAGCCATCCGTCCGTCTAGCCTTCCGTCCGTCCAGTTGTCCGCCTAGCCATCCGTCCGTCTAGCCTTCCGTCCGTCCAGTTGTCCGCCTAGCCATCCGTCCGTCCAGTTGTCCGTCTAGCCATCCGTCCGTCTAGCCTTCCGTCCGTCCAGTTGTCCGCCTAGCCATCCGTCCGTCCAGTTGTCCTTCTAGCCATCCATCCAGTTGTCTGCCCGTCCTTCTGTCCATCCAATTGTCTGTCCGTCCATCTATGCATCCATCCAATGGTCTTTCCGTCTATCCATTCATCCAATTCTCTGTCCATCCATCCATTCATCCGTCTATTCATCCAGTTGTCTGTCTGTCCATCTATTCATCCAATTGTCTGTCTGTCCGTCCATCCCAATGGTCTGTCCGTCCATCCATCTGTCCATCCAATTGTCCTTTCGTTCATTCAATTGTCCTGTCCATCCATCCATTCAATTGTCCGTGTGTCCATCCATCCATTCATCCAATTGTCTGTCCGTCCATCCATTCATCCAATTGTCTGTCCATTCATTCTTCAGTCCATCCATCTGTCCATCCAATTGTCCTTTCGTTTATTCAGTTGTCTCGTCTATCCATCTATCCATCTGTCAGTCTGTCTGTCTTTTAGGTTTGAGACATGTAAACTGACAGGACTTAAGGATAAAAATAAGTGACTTCGGGCATTCATTTTACTAAACCAAAAAAGGCTAGTTTGCCTTACAATTATCGAAAAAATATTGCCACAGAAACTGACTGAGTGCATGAATTGTTTTATGCAGTCAATTATGACTCGGCATCACTAACAGCATTTAAAAATTGTCCACTCCTTTCCAACTTTCTGACTGACTCTCTTATTCGACAGCAGAACTGTTACACCATATAGTTAGAACAGTTAAACAGTGTTTGTTCATACACCGCATAAATACAGAATACTTTTCCAGTTATGCTCTTTTCAAATTGCTAGTTCTGTTTTGTTGGTGCTTTGACAATAGTCCTTGTTAGCCTATGACCTGTATATGGTAGAAATGGAGTTTAAATTCATGCCAAAGTCTGTTTGTGTGCAAGCGCCTGTGGACAGACAGCCTCCGGATGATTTGTACTTGAAAACAGCATCTTTGGTCCCTAAATAAGGCCACCCCCTTTAACGCTCACTGTCACCGAGAAAAGCACTGCTGCTGAACCTAATGAGCTCGTTGGCTGGCTGGAGAAAGTTTGGCGAGCGTTTGGCATCTGACAGCTCTGGTGTTGGAGCTGTGGGGGGGCTGCAGGAGGCAGAGAACAGCATCTGTTGTTGTGTACAGTTCAAGCCGTCGTTATACGGCCTTCAGAGCAGGCCAGTCTGTTCCCAGCACAGCCTGCAGATTGCTGTTCATAGCAGGAGAGATGGAGAGAGATGAAAGGCTAGGAAGGTGGAGGTAAAGAACGAGGTGTATATCTTTTCTCGCCTCTGTTTGGCTGCTAAATCCAACTTGGAAAGTAAGAAAAGGTCATTCTTTATTTTGTGTCACACCAGGAAAATTCAGAAGTTTGCCTCCTTTGGTCCTCATGACCAAAAACAATGTTGTTTAAGTTTAGTTTGGTTTGCTTTTACCATTGTCCTTTTTGCAAGTGAACCAGAAATTGTAAACACAACCACAATTGTGTAAAGTTTATTGAACAGAAATGCATTAAATTCAATTCACATATACTTATATAGTGCTTTTCACTAGCAGCTTCTCAAAAGGTGTACATTATTACATTAGTTAAAATCAAAAACGTTAAGCAGTTGTGTTTGGGGTTGGCAGTTTATAAGTGTAGTTAACCTGCTGTCAAAACAGTGTTGCCAGATTGGGTGGTTTTGAATTTAATTCTGCGTGTAAAAACGGCATAGGCGGGTTGATAAAAGAGCTGATGAAGTTGTTTAAAAGTTTGACTCCTCGGACATCAATGTTCTCTGTTTGCATGTGCATCACGCAGCGCCCTGCAGATAAACTCAGCAGTTTATCATGACATTTTTGATTTTTTTTTTTTTCGCAGTAATTCAATTCACCTTAATTTGTATAGCGCTTTTACAATGTAGATTGTGTCAGAGCAGCTTCACATAAAATATAGTAAATTTAATCAGTGTAGTTGTTTTCAGAGTTCAGTTAATTTTAATAATCACTACTGAGAGTCCAAACACTGAAGAGCAAATCCATCGATGCGCAGCTCTACAGATCCTGAACCATGCAAGCTAGTGGCGACAGCGGCAAGGAAAAAACTTCACCAATTGGCGAAAGTAAAGAATTAAAAAATCTCGAAACCAGGCTCAGTTGGGCTCAACCATTTTTCCACTGGCCAAACGTCTTGTGCAGAGCTGCAGTCTAGGTGCCGGAGGCTGGAAGCTGGAGCTCAGCGAAGACTCGTCTGTCCCTGGAGCGTCGCAGGAATCAGTCTCATGCTCTCCACTCCACCATGACCACCACAGTAGCTGTCCAGGATATGGAAACCTCATCTCGTCACTGGTTTTGAATCGAATCAGTGGTGCTGCATAGTGCATAGTCTGAGGGCCTTGGGATGAGTATCCCCAGGTTGAAATAGAGAATAAAGAGAATAATTAGCGTAGCTGCTGTTCATACTGGACATAAACAAGATGCAGAAACCTGTTTGGAGCACATTCATGTATCATACCGTTAAGTGATGCACTGAGTAAATGCTTTACTTAACAGATCTTTAATTTAGTGTTGAATTGAAAGAGTGTGTCTGAGCCTCAGACGTTATCAGAAAGGCTATTCCAGAGTTTGGGAGCCATAAATGAGAAGGCTCTACCTGCTTTACTCGACTTCGCTATTCTAGGTACTACCAGAAGCCCTGAGTTTTGAGATCTTAAAGAGCGGGTTGGTTGAGTAAACAGCAATTAGCATTCGAATCTACACAGCAATAAGTGCAGTGTTTTGATGTGATCCGGTTATATTGTGGTTTTGTGACTGCTGGAGTTGGTTGATGCATGGTTTTTATTCTAACAGTTATGCTTTTTTAGGAGTAGGCTTTTTTTTTTTTTATTGTGCATTTGGGCGGGTTTTGGACTGCTTTTGGGCTGGAAAAAGTCAAGTGAATCAAATATTTAGGAATGTTTACAGACTTTCTCAAACATTTTTTTCATCCCTCTCCTGAATTACTCCAGGCAAAAGTCTGCTTGATCGATTGGTGTTAATGGCATCTCTCATATCTGCTCTTTTACAGGTGTATCCTGGTCTGATGGTGACGGCGGGCCTGATTCACTATGTACTGAATCTGCTTCATGTGACGGTGCATATACGTGATGTTTGTGTGTTCCTGGCTCCTGTCTTCAGTGGCTTGACTGCCATTTCTACTTTCCTGTTGACGCGGGAGCTGTGGAACCAGGGCGCTGGACTATTGGCAGCGTGTTTCATCGCCATTGTACCAGGCTACATTTCCCGCTCTGTGGCTGGCTCTTTTGACAACGAGGGCATTGCCATTTTTGCCTTGCAGTTTACTTACTACTTATGGGTAAGTTGTATTAATTGCACCGTTTTGTGTTTGTCTTTATTGTTGTTTTCTCATTATCTTTATTCAGTACAATTATCCAGTTTGATTATGTGGAATATATATATATATATATATATATATATATATATATATATATATATATATATAATTAATACGATAATATACGATTAAAGTATTTTTTTTCTGAAAAGTAGCCATGCCAACTTTAATTTAATACTGTTTGGTTTATTTATCTTCAGCCCACCACCCTCAATCAAGTTTGGTTTTTGGCCCTTATCAAGAAACTTTTGCCACCCCTGGTTTAAATTAATTAATTAATCAGGAAGATAAAGTTATCTGGTTGTTATTAGTCGGGTCTTTGAATCACATAATTCATGGTTTCTGCTACATTCATTCTTCTATGGTGGGGCGCCACGCCAAAATTTATCCCGCTACGGCTACATTACAGCTTCCTATTCAAAACACTTTTTAATTGCGGGTGATAATTGCACCAAAACGTATTAAAGGGTAAGTGAATTACAACAGCGCAAACTTTTCTGTAACCGTAGTAGTGCTGTGCAACATTTGTATAACCCTTTAAGGTGACGTACTGACTCACAGATAGGCTGACAGGTGCGTGAGGCCAGCAAACATGACATATAGCCGTTTCACTTTACTTCAGGACGCATTAATGCTACTCTGTAGGTCTATTAGAGACATTCATAAACATTCCTAGCAAATCTTATGTTGGAGACCTACTCGTCACATAAACGCAGTAAATCGCACTCAGCAGCATTTGTTTGAGAGCGCACAAGAAGATCTGCGCACTCTTTAAGGGGCTTATATTTGAGGTGGCGTGCACGAGCAGAGGAAATCGGCGCGCAAGCAGAGATTCACATGCTCGTACATGTAGGTTATTACATAAATGCGATCTTGATTTCTAATACTGCGCTCACAACATTTGTCATTGAAATAATGCCACAGGTAGATTTGTGTAAAAAATAAATAAATAAAATGGCCTGCCGCCACAGCTGGAAAAAGTCCTAGAGGAAACACTGGAATTAATTACATAAATGCCCTGACTCACCAGAAACTTGGATTTGCATAAATCTATGAATCAGGTTTTAAAAAAAAAATACCTTTTCAGATAATTACTTGGTTTAGTTCACAGAATCAGTCTTATTCATTTCATCTCATTCTTTTCATTAATCTGGATAATCATTCGTTTGAGTAAAATCTAAATTTGTTATGTTTTTTTCTCATCTAGCCATTTAATTTTGCTCTGAAACATATCATGAATCTGGATAATTCTGTTCTTTTGAGTCTGTCTTTCTGAATCTTTTTGTTGAAGCTGAATGTTCTAGTTCTCAGCCTCTGTTTTTTTTTTTTTTTTTTTTTTTTTTTTACTTCTACTGAGGTTCATAAGTTAACTGTTATTATGACTTCAGAATTCAGCACATGAGTCATACAGATACCTTTTTTGATGTTTATGTTGCCCATTCTAAAATGGCTGAAAATCCATTTCAGAAATTCTTACACTGTGCCACACAGTAGAAATGATGAAATAACCTTGACAGACATTCATCACATTTTTTTTTCAGCTATACGGCGAGACAGCTGGAACGAATGCAGTGGCAGCATACTTTGTCTTTTTTGGCGGTGTGATTTTTAGCCCATCCCATCTCTCTAGAGCTCACTGTCAGCTGAGATGGCAAGGACTTTGCTGTCAAGCGTGTCTTAAACATTGAATTTCTTTGGTCTCTTTCTTATCTCATAGCGGTTTTTGACTTGACTTTGTTTGAGGTGATGCTATCAGAGCCTGTGTTTGGGATTAGCAGAATTAGCTTAAGTGTGTCCTCTCCTCTCCACACAGGTGAAATCAGTGAAAACTGGCTCTGTCTTCTGGGCCATCGGCTGCTGCCTCTCCTACTTTTACATGGTAAGTTTATTGAACTAATTGATTTGGTTTTTGTGAAGTTTATTTTCATTAATGGCTTGTTGTAATATCATACTAAAGTACTTGCATAATGACATTTCATTCCAATGCATATAGTTGGTTGCTGTTCAGTGCTAATATTTTTAAGGCTCAATTGGTTTAATGAATAAAAAGATTATATTAAGTGTAAAGAGTTTTTTCTCCAGTCATTTCTTCAGTCTTAAATGATCTTTAAAAAATTATTTTAATATGAGGATTTAAAAGTCAACATTAATTTTTAATTGAACCAGGCACCTAGCCAGCGTGGTGAAAGGGGTGGTTATTTTTGCCTCATTTTCTGTTTAATTATGAGATTTAAATACTGCTGTCTAAGGTTTTGCTAAAAAATTATTTTAAATTATTATTTAATAAAAATATACATCTGAAGTGTCTGTTTTGTGACAAACATTAAATATTGCATTTATATTGCTTATATTGCTTTTGTTGCATTCCTAAACAATGTATAAGATAAATAAAAAACTGACCTCAAACTTTTGATGTAAAAAAACAAACTGACCACATGATAAAACTGACCTCAAACTTACAATTGTTAGCGTAAAATGTTACCAGTGTTATTCCAGCTGATAAATGATGATTCTTTTAGCTAAATCAGTCATAACGACTCAATTGAGTTACATGCAAAACTCATCAATCTCATCAGCACATTATCTGATTCAGTTGGTGCTCTTGGGGAATTATTATTTTATTCACTCACTGAACCGCAAGTCATTACTTGCTCTTATCAGCTGAATCATGAACTCGCTTTTAATGTAATGTTCATGAGACGTAAAACGGCATAATTGCTATAGAATGGTTAAATTATCCAAAGTCAAGGAACCGTAATCGTTAAAGTGGAATTGCGATCTGAACCGGAAACATTAAATTCGTATGATTCCCGTCCGTGGCGTTGGGTGTTCTGGGGCTGCTCGCACATCGCCCTTGCTCTTTTTCAACCCATTAATGTGATATGTAAAATAAATGAATAAGCAACCAGCGCCATCCATCATGCCACCCTGGTGGGGGCAGAGCGCCAGTCGGTTATGAATATCAGCCATTTCTGAAACTTGAGACTCTTCCCCTGGAGGATGGCAGCGCTCATTAATAATGGAGGTCTACAGCCCTGCCCAGCCCCCAATAGTCTCTGGCTTTCCAAATGTGTTTATAAACATAAATGATACCAGTGCAGTCTGAGCCATCTGCTCCATCGAGACCTTGGAGTCCGGTACAGTCTGACGCGTAACTGGGGGGCGCAACTTAAGAGAGGCTCTCTTGAACGGGACATCCTAAGTGACCTAGAAAAGTGCAGAGGTTCCAAAGGCTGAGTGTGCTAATGGAGTTTTCTCGTAAATGTGGTGTGTAATAGAAGTGAGAGTCAGCAGGGACTGGGGCGATATGATACAACTTGGTCACGACACATTATGTTTCTTTACTTTTAGTATAGTGTTATTCAAAAAGGTGGTATATTTCTGGTGGTATGTATCTTTTGCCCACTATATTTTCCTTTAACTACAGCCATAAAATGAATATGAATATTTAGCTTAAATAAATGTAGGTATGCAATTGCATATATTAAATATTTACTTGGCAACTGCCAGAAATAAATTAGATTCAGCTTGCATAAATTTATTCTTTTTTTATTTTTATTTTTTATTTCAGGTAAACACAATATATTGTTTCCGCATTGCAATGTGTGCGTTACAGCTTATTTATTGTTCATTATACCAGGAACCACAGGTCCAAACACAATAAGATTTGTGGAGTCAGTGCAGCCAAAAAAAAAAACTCATTGGATGAACTCAATTTAAGATTTGGATGAATGCAATTGAGTTGGTCCAACATGATTTTATCAAATGAAAGTTAGGGTTAATACATTTCTATTTTTATTTAACTTGAACTCAAAGGACTAATAATATCATGTATGTTTATTATGGCTGTTTCTCAATTTGCGTTCTTCAGCATTCGTTTGTACTCGTGTAACGTCGTCATCATCAACTGCCAAAGTTCAGTTCCAAAACTCAAAACCGCAAGAATGGAGGATGTGTGAGATCTCAGATGTGTTCTTGATATTGAGGACACATTGTTGCAGACTTGAGCGTAAAACGCACTCGAGAAGTCCCAGAAGTCATTGTGGCACAGTATTTTACAAAATTTTATTTTTAATGTTCAGAGATACTTATTTTAGGAGTTTCTCTAAATGAAATGGTGAAAGTAAACATTACCATGAAAACCTCAGACACAAACACATTTTCTGAAATTCATATTAAAATTTGTTTTATTTGTATTGTGAGTATATTTGTAAGGTTTTTATGCATAGTATATGTTGTGAAAAAGGAAAAAAACAATAAATCGTATGAATGCTGTAACGTTTAAATTTACCATTAAAAATGTGAAGGTCATGCGACCATCAGGAAGACCCAGGGAAAAATGCAGCATCTCATTTCTCACAGGACATGTTTTCTGTTCTCGTGGTCTCATGAGTTGGTTCTCCCAAGATGACTTGGCAAGACCGCTTTCCACAAGAACGCGAATCCGTTCTTGGAATTAAGTAACAGCCTCTGTATTGTACATTTTGAAGTCTATTAGTTTCATTTGAAGTTATCCTAAATTAACTAAAAGAGATGTTTTTAGCATATTTCATGAGTTACATATACAGTTGATTGGGAATAATCTCAAAACTAATTTTAGGACAGTATTGCTCACTGAGCAAAGCAACAAACTGCATTTTTATTAATTAAGCTGCCAACACCCAATGCATGCTTGCTTCTGTAAGGTGGTAATCCAAAACGCAAACCATTACATAAAGAAGTTCGAAATCTTCAAACTATAGTGAAAATTAAACTCTTTCTATAAAGTTTAAACACCTAAGATTACTTGTATTGTAAACATTTCCCTCTCTTAATTCAATCCCACACAAAGCATGCTGGAAACTACAAATCCCCAAATCAGGTAGTTGGACCAACACTATTCCTTAGTGTTGTCCCAACGCAAAACGCTTAAGTTAACTTAGTGGTTTACTAATTTAAAGGGACTGAACATAAAACAAATAAACTGGTCAAAGAAATAACTGGAATTTTGTTTGGGCTCATTTTAAACATGTAAAAAAAACACTCATTTTTTGAGTGTGCAGAACTGAACCACAATAGAGTGAAAGGTCGTAACTTGTATTTGCTATTAAGGCCTGTGACTGTGTGAGCATTTTTATAGTGTTTAAATCATTAGATGCACAATAAATCGTAATTTTAATAAAGAGTAATGCAGTGTTATTTTACATTTAATTATTCACTATCTCTACCTGAACACTGTTAGACTCCCCTGAAAACCAAGTGCTGTTTGTTTCACAAAATCTTTTTTTTTTATGTCTGTAGTTTAATTATGCGCATATAATAAATTTTATGTATATAAAATTAAATGTAGGGACGTTAGTGACGTTTGGCCCATAAGCTAAATTAATGACTTTTCAAATGCTATTTAAGCCATCTGGTGACATTATATTCATATCGCAATTTATAATCGCAGAGGAAAATAACTGCTATGTTAGATTTTTTTCAATATTGTGCAGCCCTACTAACCTTAAACTAGGACTACAATGAAATGAAAAATATGCATGAATATGCAGATTTTAACAGGTTTGCTGTTGGTATTTTAAAGAAATAGTTTATCCAAAAATCTATTTATCTGATTAATTTATACCATTTAATTTGAAACATTTAATTTCAGATAGCTTTTTTAGCTTAACAATAAATGAGGTTAAGGCAAATAAGGTTACATTTTAAATTTGAAATAACAATCTCTTAACCATTGCGGGATGGCGGACCAAATCATAGGTTACCATGGGCCGACATTGACCCACAAGCCCTAGTTTGGGCATCTCTGCTTTAAGGCTCTTTATAAAGAAGATTTAGATGAGGTATTTTAAGTCAAAGTATTGAATTCAATACATTTTTTGGAAGCAATCTATTATATATGCAAGCATAAAAAGTGTGCTCTGATCTGTTTGTTGAAGTGACAAAGAGATACTCATGCACCCTGTCCTGCGGCTTTCAAGAGCTTGGAACAGAAATATTTCTCTCTTTTTGCAAGTGGCATTGGTAGCAGTGTTCTCTTTATTCATTCATAAAACAGATTATTAATATCCAATCAAAGAAGATTTCACTCAGCCCACACTGGAGCATCGACAACATGATGGTTTTGAAAGTAATGGAATTTCTTACATTAAAAACCTTCTAGATGAAGACCGAGTGAAGGCTGCTATTCGATTTGCGAGGAAAAATGTAAATATCTGCAAAATGCAGTGTCTGACATGAAAAGTAGGCAATGCTAGTTGTGTTCCTATGAAATGCATAACACAAGTAATCCCTCCGCCTCATCCTCAGCATAACAATAAGATTTTAAATGACATTTGTTTTTAAAGGAAAGGTATGTTTAATACAAAGAGCTCTATTTTAACGGTCTAGGCGCAAAGTCTAAATCGCATAGTGAAAAAGCATTAAGGGTGTCTCCAAATCCAATTTTGCTATTTTTAAGGATGGAAAAATATGGTTGGACTAATAGGGTTGTGCTTATGCTCTTAATGAGTTATGGGTGTTATTTTAAACACATTTTAAAATTATTTTTGTAACATTTTATTACTTAATTGTTTTTATATGTAAAGATATTTGTGTATTCCTGTACATTCTGTGTGTATTAAGCAATGTGTACGTGTTTTGACCTGCATAGATATAACTAACGTAACATAGATATAACTAACGTGCCAACAATGCACCTTAACACACTTTTTTTTTTTTTTTTTTTTTTTTTTTTTTTATAGACCAGTACACCCACAAGTCCACAAAGTGGCACAAATGTTATTTTCTATTTAAGCAATGTGTTTCAGAATGTGAAAATAAAGGTTGCGCTGGTCTGAAAAAAACAGGAAAATCACGCCATTTACGTCTTGCGCTTTATATCGCCTAGTGCATGATAGGGCCCAAAGCGTGTGAATTCAACTTTATTTGCCTTGTTTTAATGTATTATTTAAAATATGTGGCTAAGAATTGACTGCTTAGCGCCAAAGAAAATATCGAAAAGGCAAGTAAAAATCTGTAGCAACCTCCCGAAAAATAGAGAAAGAGATGCTTCTATACTTTCATTGTGGGTTTGGTGGTCTTAAATTACTTATACATTGGTATTAGTTTTTATAGTGTTCAGTGTTCTCTAGCCTCTGGTGCCTAGACTGCACCTCTGCACAAGAAGTTTGGCCATAGGAGAAATGGTCATGCCCAAGTGAGCCTGGTTTCCTATAAAATGTTTTTTTTTTCTTCTTTCATTTTCATCAATTGATGAAGTTTGTTCCTCGCCAATGTCTCCACAGGCTTGCTTGGTCTGGGACTTGTGGAGCTGCACATCAATGGATTTGCTCTTCAGTGTTTCAGCAGTGAAATTAAACCACACTGAACTAAACTGAACTTCAACTCTGAAAACAGGACTGACAGTTTCAGTGCGATTAGAAATAAAGATGAATTGAATTTAACTTAAAGCGACTACTTCATGCCAACCTTTAAATTACATTAAAGACTGTTGCGTAGAATGAAAAACCTCATGCAGTATGATGAGGTCAAACATTGCTATAGTTTGATGTGTGTGACATGTTTTGTGTTGCAGGTGTCTGCATGGGGAGGATACGTCTTCATCATCAACCTTATTCCTCTCCATGTTTTCGTGCTGCTCCTTATGCAGCGCTACAGCAGGAGGCTATACATTGGTGAGTCACCTGTGTCGTGTGTATGTTTGTGTGAGCGTTTCTGCTTCTTGTACGAAATACACACACACACACACACACATCCCCGCCCACACAATCACGCCACATAGTGCTTGTTCTCCCATATAATAATGAAGCGTGAACCAGTTTTATTTTCCTATTTGCTTTTTGATTTGGACACACAAAGTTATGCGCAGCCGTGTTCTACAAGTGCTTGACGAGTCACGAGTCCCTCTTCACATTGACAGCAACGTTTAGTTGACATTGATGTTTAATGACACATTTTTTTTCCACCCACTTCACTCTTGCCTTTCACAACCAATCCCATAAGCAGCACTGATCTGAGAATACATGGATCTTCATGTCGTGGAAAAAAGCCTTTGAATCCATACCCGCAGTCTTAAACGCCAAAACAACATGTCAATTAGGACCTTCGAATAAGCTTTCTGCAAAGCGAGAAAGACACTAATACTTTTGCTTCCAGAGCAAAGAGCTGCTTTTTTATTCGTTTTTTTGAAGCCTTTTATTAATCTGAAATCTGATGGGTTACATCATTCGTTTAGGGGGATGAATAATTAAAAGCGCAGTGTTTTTCTTGGAGATTCTAAGAAACCTCTCTTATAAACGAATGCGGCCTTGTGCTGCTTGGCTAATTTAGTTTAAATCTTTAGTAGCCCCTCCCTGCTGCTGCTACAAAATGCGTTACTGATGGATGCTCGGTATTAGCTCCGTTCGTCTCCATTCTGGAAAGTTTTTGTGCTTGCCGCAGGTCCCACTACACATTTGCTATGGCCCGACTCCACACGGAGAGTATCACTGCCACCTCTCCTAATAGATCATAGTGATTAGATTAAGTAGCACTGCTCTCAGTTTATGGGGCTGGAGCTTGGACAAAGAACAGCAGTCATGTTCAAAGATGGATGGAGGATGGTGTAAAACCGGTGGGATCTGGTTATTGCGTTTCTTGTGTCCTCCTACTGTGACATCTGCTTTGGTAACTTTAGACACCAAGATGACCTTTTTGTTTAATACTCACAAAAAGGCAAAAGCTAACTGGAAGCTGACTGGCTAGTCAATTTAATCCTGTTTACATCTGGTATAAAGGTGCACATTAGTTTATTGGATCAGGGGTCCGTTCTTCGTACCTCGCTTAAATGATCTAAGATTATTTGGCAGATGCTGGATCTTTTAATCTTGATAACTGATCTCTCGCTAATTTGGTTCTTCAAACAAGTTCGCGAATCAGATTAGAAAGTCTGGATAAACTGATCCGAGATCGCTGCGTGTGTTGTGAAGGACAGATCTATCGATCCTCGAAATCATGATCAGGAATGCAACGATTGGCTGATGGCACAGCAGCGTAATGACATCATCTGATTAATATTCAATTATCCATGTGAGCAAAATTACATCAAATTAGCAGTAAACGGCTTGTTAAATATGACACGCAATAACCTTCCACATTTGTTGTGAGCTGCAGGCTTTACACTTTCATGTGTCAAGAGTATTCATCATGTATTTCAATCCAAATCAGTGTATTTAGTTCTACATTTAGAAAAGATTTTCTTTATTATAGTAGCCATTTTTTAATCGGTGTAAAGAATAACTGGTTGTTTACAAAAGCATTTTCATATTGGTAAAGGCGCCTGCAACTTTTGTGAAGCATCATCACTGGCATATTAATTGTCAAAACATGTTTATGACTGCATAAATGTATTATTGCTTTTAAAAAAAGTCACATAATTGTGCATTTCTATTATACACAATTTGTACTTAAGCGATCTAAAAAGTTCATATCAATAAGTTTTCTCTTTGCACCAGCAGGTGGCAGTCTTTGTACTTTCATTTCGAGGGTGCAGATTGCATACGTTTTATTAATATGTATAACTTAATTTATTTTATTAATGACTTTAACTTTATATATATATATATAGTTAAAAAATGTATCATTTTCCCAAGTGTATAACTACTACTGTAAGAAAATATCAGAATTGGGATCATACCATCTGTATTATCTTTTCTTGAACTAAGCCGATCTAATCCTGTTTATATGAATTGAACCTGCTCCCGATCAGGTTTGACCTAGCGGAACTGTTGCTATGACAACAGCTCTCGGATCAGCTTTGAAGAACGAAACGATCCTGGATCGTGTCAAATCGTCAATATCCAAATCCAGCTAACTGAGTAATCCACGTACGAAGAACGGACCCCAGAAGTAGACAAGGAAGAAATATTTATGTTTTCACCCAGTGTTTTACTCTGTCTCATTTGTCAGTCTTAAGGTGGCTGCATGTATAATCTTTCAATATATACAGCGGGAAAAATATGTATAAACTCGTCATGTTGTTTTTTTTTCATGGGATTAATATATCTAAAGAACTACTGGAATGTATTTAATACTTTTATATAAAGGGCTTTTCTGGTTTCATCCTGGCATATTTGTAATGTAGATGTTGGACTGAAGCAGCTAATATTAATTTACAATGACGAAGTGCAGAGGGTTGCTGAAGAACTACTGAGATTTCAGCTGCTGTCTGGGCTTTCTCTGCCTTTCCACACCTCCCTTTCTTCATGTTTAATACTTTTCATTTTATTACATATAGCTTAATTTGTAAAGTTATTAGATTAATTTTCTTTACATACAGTATATGGATTCCTTTGGTTGTTACCAACATCCATGGAAAAGTTCACCTTTAGAAATACTTTTTCTGTGAAAAATGGTAACGTGCTCTGCTTATTTTCCCTGCTGTATATCAATATATAGATCTTTCAATAAATAAACTTATGCAGTTTATATATGAATGCAAAAGAGATAGCATTAAAGTAGGGTTCATTTGGTCATGGAAAACCTGGTAAAGTCTTGGGTTTTTGAAAAAGTCATTGAAATTGGTTTAACAAATATCTGTGTACTTGAATGTAGGTTAGTTCTCTTTGCTTCTTTTCTGTCCTTGGATAAAACATTAATAGTTCTGTGTGAGCATAATCTAAACAATTTTACATAGATATAAAAATACATTTAAACAAAATAGATTGTTGCGTGTTTTAATATGCTGTAATATATTTGAATGTGCATTGTTTTTCTTATTCTTTATCAGATATATGTAGACATTACATAAAATATTAGGTCATAAAGTTACTTGAAAGTCATGAAATTGTAGTTGTAAAGTGTATGAACCATGGCAAATGATATACACTACCTGATAAAAGTCTTGTCGACAACAGAAAAACAACAAATAATAACTTGACTTCTAGTTGATCCATTTGGAAAAAGTGTCAGAAGGTAGTTTTTCTGATTAATCTGTTGAACTGCACCCCAATCATCACAAATACCGCAGACCTATTGGAACCTGTATGGTGCCCAGATTTTTACAAAAATCAGTCAATTTTGGTGAGGGAAAAATCCTGGTTTGGAGATACATTCAGTAAGGGGGCTTGCGAGATATCTGCAGAGTGGATGGCAGCGTCAACAGCGTATCAAGACATTTGTACTGCCCATTGCATTACAAACCACAGGAGAAATGTGGTTATTCATAAATATGGAAATTCTTCAGCAGGATAGCGCTCCTTATGCTTCAGCCTCCACAGCAAAGTTCCTGAAAGCAAAGAAGGTCAAAGTGCTTCAGGATTGGCCAGCCCAGTCACTAAACATGAACATTATTGAGCATGTCTGGGGTAAGATGGAGGTGGCGTTAAAGAAGAATCAAAAGAATGTTGATGAACTCTGAGAGCCCTGCAAGAACGTTTTCTTTGCCATTCTAGAGGACTTTATTAATGAGTTATTTGAGGCATTGCAGAGATGTATGGATGCAGTTCTCCAAGCTCATGGGAGTCATACACAATATTCATTATTTTTCCACTGCACCATGACTTTATATTCTATATTGTACATTATTTCTGTGAAGTGGCAGGACTTTTGTCCAAGCCAAGTCAGACCTTACTGTCCTAATTAAATACTTAAAAATCAAGGCATGATCATATTTTATTTTGGTAAAATAAGCATAATCTAGATCCCTTTGCCTTTTATATAAGCCAGTTCTTATAACAAATGATCAACTAAACGTTAAGTTATTATTTGTTCCTAAAACTTTGATAGGCCACAAGACTGTTGTCAGGTAGTGTATGGCTGTAAAAATATTGCTTCAACCAAATGTACAGTATATTTTAAATTCTGTCTTGCTAGTGCAGTCCATTATGCCATACCATAATGTTTAAAAAACGACTTGACTAGACATAAGTTATTGAAACAAATTCAACCACATTAGTGTTTGAATACTATTCAAAATAACCTCTGCATTTGTGATAAAGTCAACAAGAAGGGCATACAAATACTAGGTATCAATAGTCGCTGTACAAGGTAAATAGTGCTTCAAACCAAACGCCATAAACTTCTAAGCAGGAGGTTCACTACACTACAATACAAGGAAGTATTGCACATTACAGGAACTATTCTGACAAGTTGGACGGCTTCTGAAGTTTTTGTAACACTTTGAAGAGATCCAGAGAGATTGTGAGCTGTCACAATATTCCCTCCTCTGATTGTTTGCCTCAGATTTGTAAGATGTCTTTCTATCACTCATGCTAATAACACAAAACCCACAAAAGTATCAAAAGAGGAACAATAGAACAGCTCCAGTCCTGGCGTGCTCCATCATTACTGTTGTGTAATGCACAGAAACAACAGAAATTAGATTTTATCCCTGGGTTCACAGTGTGGGCCTTATGTCACATTAGGGATGAAGAGGATTAAGTCCAAGTAATTCTCTATTAAAGTGCTAATGCAAAAAGGTAAATGTCTGTTCAGGTTTTCATTTCTAAATTCAGGTAGTTTTTTTTATTTATTTTTTTTTTATTTTAATTTGTGGTAAGCACCAGACCTTGGCCTTGTTTACAGCTGTAATTAAGATGTATTTTTCTCAATCTGATTGCAAGGTGATGACACTAAATACTGGTGTGAATAGGGGCTGAATTGTTTACAAATAGCCCACTTTGGACCACTTCCAGAG